ATCTGATTGGTTGGCATTAATCAATCAACGTGCGAACTTTGGGGAGACTTAAGGAAGCTTCTGTGAGCCACTTCTCCCAAAAGTGCATAAATCTGACTACTTAAAAAATAAAGCGATTCCAATATTGTCGCATTACTGCGATTTGTAAATTGCCTGTAGAAAATGTATTAGTGATTTATTAGCCAATGATCGTTTGGCATTGTACATCTTATTTTGTGTTTGTATGTATATATTCATGCGTAAGTAGGTTCGCACATATGTATTAATATTTTAGGAGGCTTTTGACCAGATCATGTTGAAACACAGATTGCCGTACGATCTTCGAAGTTAAGCAACATTGAGTCTGGTCAATGACAGTCATCCATCGACAGAAGGTGGTGTAATGGATAATTGCTTGAAAGAGTTCTAACTCCCATTGGGTTCATAATCCTCACTTATAGGCACGTAACCTTAGGAAAGGTATGAATCCAATTCTTCTGCCCTACCCCGCAAAAAAAAAAAAATTCTTATGATCTAAAAATATTTTGGGGCTTTAAATAACCTGCAATGCTTTGATAGAGCAAAGAAAACTAATCAATCAAATACTAATTAGCTACAGAAGCATGTTTTTAGATTTATTTAAATTCTCTGGAATATAAATATATAGAAAATAGAGTGATCACAAAGTGAGGGATGTATTGGTTGCACTATAGAATGGATCCCCCACTTTATATCCACATTATAATTTCTTGGTTTATCAAATTCTGATTACGTCTGAATCAACCACTTCCCCACCACCTCTAGCTATTACGTAAGTAGGTTCGCACACTCTAGCATCCGGGCATCTGGAACGTCATTCTTTCTCCTTATTCTTTTTCTCCCCTCTGGTGTCGACGGTGGAGATGGCTGTGAAATCCCAGCCTACACCTGAAGAGTCGTCAAAGAGAGTTTGACGCAGCCATTCGCGTGAATTTGATTTCGGTGGAGATCCGTGCGCGACGGTGAAGCCCACACATTTAACCAGAAGCGCCACCCTCGCAGGTCAAAGGAGATTGAGACAGGCGAGATCTGGCAAAGCTGGTTGCATAGGGCCGTAGGATGGTTGGTCTGTTGAGGTCCACCTTGGTTGCACCAGCCCGATTCCTGCTCCCGTCATCTGCCGGTTTGGCCCTGACTGTGAGGATTGATTCCAATGAGAATCTACCAGGGAGATGGATCGAGTGTGCAAGTGGTAATGATACTGTTAAAATAGACACCACGTGCTTGATACCTTGTGAATTTATTTTTCCTACGGAGCTCATATCCGATCGCATCTGTGCGCTGGGATCGTCATACTTACTCCCTATTTCCCTGATACATACGGTGGCGGAGATTGTTGCGAATCAAAGAGAGTTTGACGCAGCCATTCGCGTGAATTTGATTTTGGTGGACATCCGTGTGCGACGGTGACGCCCACACATTTAACCAGAAGCGCCACCCTCACAGTTCAAAGAGGTTAGAGACAGTCGAGTTCTGGCAATCGTGGGTTGCATCTGGCTGTCAGATGCTTGGTTTGCCAAGGTCCGCTTGGATTACGCCAGTCCGACTGGCAATGCCCTCTTCCGCCGGTTTGGTCTTTGAGATCGTGTAGATCTTTGCTTATTCCGCCGTTGATGTCTTCGGGGTCTGAGCTCTTCAATCTGGTCTCGCTTTCTCGAACTTACCGCCATGGGTGGCCCTACAGGAGTTGATACTCAGACTGCTTCGCTGTTTGGATCACTGGGAAACGCTAGCCCTCTGCCATAGCAAGAAATGACCAACATTTCGTTATCAAATGTATCATTTTGACTCATAAGTATGTAAGTATCATTGAATACGTGAGAATATTTTAAATATGGATATAGCTATAGATTAAAAACAGGTATGTAATGTTGAGTCTATAGGAAAAAGTCATCAAACAGGAAAGCAAAAGAGTGCGTAAACTACAGGAGAATCACTCATATCCGGTATCCCTCATATCTGGAATCCCTCACATCCGGAATCCCTCATATCCGGGATAACATATCCGGAATCCCTTATATCCGGAGTACCTTATATCCGGAATCTCGACTTTCCGGATATGATTTTGATGTGTATATTTGAACTATTTGGGTGATATGTAATTGATTTAAAATTTCTGATTATCAGGAAATTTACTTTAGATAATGGCTTATGCATATTTCACCCTAATGGCTTGCATTGGTGCAAAAGATTATAGGAATAAGAGGAAAAGAACAACTTTAAAGTTATCGCCAAAAGTGGAAATTTTAAACAGACTAGACGTTGGTGAAAGATCATTGTAATTAATGGCTGAGTTCAACATAGGAAAATCAACATTGTATGATATAAAATCTTTCAAAGAAAATATTCTCCATCGTTCACACTATCAAAATAAACTAGGAAAAAAAAAACATGATTATGATGAAACCTGAACTGAGATTGAAAAAGCTATTGAAAAAATTACCAGTTTTATGGAAAGAAAGCCAGCATTCAGCTATGACGATTGCAAGAACGCACACAAAGTTAAAATATGTATTTCGTTTAAAAAATTTCAAGAACAAAAGCAAAACGAAATGCGGTAAATGTTGAGACTGACATTAGAAGAAGAAGAATCATCATGCAACAGCGATTAAAAAATCCTCGTTACATTATTTGTTTTGCATACGTGGCATAGTTAATTTAATGACTTTTCATTAACATTACATAATTTATTTGTTTTTCCTTAAAATCAGTTCCGGATATGAGTTTCCGGATATGAGTTTCCGGATATGAGCGATTCTACTGTATTTTCTGATATATCAGAAAAAAAGCAACTTTTGGTGATCTGAAGACAGTTGTCATCTGAAAAGCGGGCGTTTCATGAAATGCTGATGTACAGTAGACCAGAGATCTAACTCTATTTATCCCATCCAAAAAACAATAATAATATTTATGGTAATATCAGCCGTTTCCTTATAAGGAAACATTCAGTATTCATTGACCGACCAGTCAGTCATTATTTTCTCTTCGTGTTACATATGTAATTCCCTAATGGATTCATCCAAGAGACAATATATCTTGACGTAGTAAACAAAGACAAAACACATATAAACTAATTGATGTCGCTGTCGGACAGAGGAAATAAAGAGGAAAATATAAATAAATATCAGAAATAATATGATCAGAAGAAAACTATGTAATTTGATATTGATAGTAATGTTGAAAAGCCAATGTTCATCAGAAACGAGAAAATCTTTTCCATTGTTACGCAGAAAACACCTCTAAAGCGAAACGCTATCATTTGATAATCATTGATAATTTCAAACCGTTAACCATAAAGACGACGACGATGATGATGATTAGGATTATTATTATCAAGCTTTAGCCTGTCCGGATTCTTTCTTTCTTTCTTCCTTAATTTCTTTCTTTCTTTCTTTTCAATTTTATATTTTTCCTTATTTTATCCACGTTCTTTTTCTTTTATTGCCAATTTTTTTTCATTTTCTCTACATTTTATTTCTAATTTAACTTTCTTTCTTCCATAGTATTCCTTGTTTGTTTGTTTGTTTCTTTCTTTCTTTCTTTCTTTCTATCAATCTTTTTTCTTTCTCTTTTTCTTACTTTCGTTTTTGCTCTTTTCTTCAAATTTATCATTTTTTTCAACTTTACAATTCATTTCTTCTGTTTCTTTCTTCTGTACCCTTTGTTTTATTTTCTTTTTTCTTTCTTTCTTTCTTTCTTTCTTTCTTTCTTTCTTGCCCTTTTCTTTAATCTTATCATCTTTTCTTACTTTACAAATTAATTTTTTCCTGTTTCTTTTTTCTTTATTTTTCCTTATCTATTTTTCTTTTTTACTTATCTATTTTTAATTTCTTTCTTTGTTTCTTTTTCTTATTTATTTTTCTTTCTTTCTTTCTCTCTTTCTTTTTTATACGATTTTTCTCGTTTCTTTCATTGTTCCTTACATTTTTCATTTATTCTTTTCTTCAATTTACCATGTTTTTTTATTTCCTTGCCAGTTAAACCATTCCTGTTTTCTTGCTTTCATTTTCTTTTATTTATTTCTTCTTTTTCTTCCCTTTTCTCTTTCATTTGGACATTCATTTTTCTTTTCTTTTCTTTTCTTTCTGTCTTTTCTTATCTTTCTTTCTTTCTTTCTTTTCTTTCTTACTTTCTCTCTTTCTTTCTTTCTTTCTTTCTTTTCTTTCTTTCTTTTCTTTCTTTCTTTTAAAACAAAGCTTTCGAGGAGCCACAAGAAAAACCACTGACCAACTCCTGTACCCTGGATCATCCTAAATAACTCACCCTCCACACCCTTTTCTCTCTTTTGCCTTTTTTCCCGATTCTTTTCGATTTTCACACAATTACCAGCCCATCCCACCCTTGTAATTATCAGGCCCCGCTGACGTCATAATGATGTTATGACATGTAAGATTGATTCGTTTTTATTTTTAATTGCAATCTAACTAATTAATAATTCATGAAGGCTTGGAAGGGGCAATCTTTAAAAAGTGCTCCCTCCCCTTGAGAGGATGCGACAGGAGGTTTCATCGGAGTTGTCCAAGATCGGAAAGAAACGAATAATAAGAAAGAGCTGATAGAGAAGTAATCGGGGGGGGGGGTGCCGTGGGAGCTCCTGGCCTAAATCCCCACGGTGCAACTGAAAACATTTTCTCTCGTAAACATCACATCTCCTGTATTCGTCCAAATCAGGCTAAAAAGAATAATACAAAGAATAAATAGCAATAATGCCATCTCAGCGCCCTTCCAATCATATACTATCTTTCCCAGAAGACCCTAACAGCATGGCCAGATAACGTGCGTACACGCGCGCACACATACACACGCATACATACACGCATACGCACATACATAGACGCACGCACACACACACACACACACACACACACACACACACACACACACACACACACACACACACACACACACACGCACAGACAGACAAAGACCTCCCCTCCCCAAGAAGCAAAAAAAAAAAAAGGACACTTGTTTTCATTATCTGAATGGTTTTTCTTCGGGTTTTCAACTTTCGCTCTTATTCGCTCTCAATTCTTTTGTCTGTCGTTTATTCCACAGAACCAATTTTCAAAATTACATTCTTTCTTTCTTTCTTTCTTTCTTTCTTTCTTTCTTTCTTTTGTTCTTAAATCATATTTTCATTTTCATTCATTTATTGAACAGGTCATTTCATTTATCCATCTTCTTTACTTTTCTTTCTTTTTTCTTTCTTTCTTTCTTTTTTCTTTCTTTGATTTTTCTTACTTTCTTGTTCTGAAATGATGTTTTTTTTTATACTTCGATTGACCAGATCTGTTTTCGTCCATTTTCTTCAAGCCCTTTCTTTTTATCCGTCTTCTTTACTTCTCTTTTCTTTCTTATATATTTTTCATTCTTCTTTCTTTCTTTCTTTCTTTCTTTCTTTCTTTCTTTCTTCAATTGTTTTTAATTATTTTTTCATACACATATTGACGAAATTCTTTCTTTTTATCCATTTTCTTATTTCTTTCTTTCGTTTTTCTTTCTTTTTTCTCTTCTCTTCTCTTTTTTTCAACCCCAATAACTTGTTTTTTCTCAATGAGAATATTTTGCTTGAATCTTTTTTCATCTATCGATCATGTTCTTTTTATTTTTTTTCTCTTTCTTTCTTTCTTTCTTTCTTTCTTTCTTTCTTTCTTCAATATTTTTTTAATTATTTTTTCATACACCTATTGACGAGATTCTTTCTTTTCATCCATTTCTTTCTTTCATTTTGTTTGTTTCTTTCTTTCTTTCTTCTCCTTTTAATCCCCAGTTTTATTTCTTTATTTTTTCTGAATGAGAATATTTTAATTATGTTTCTATCTTTTTCTTCGTCTATCGTGCTCTTTTTATCCATTTCCCTTTCTTTCTTTCATTCTTTCTTTCTTTCTTCAATTATTTTTTTTAAATCACCTCATTTTCTCTTTATCAATTGATCATTAATTGGTCCTATTTTCTTGAATTAGTATATTTTAATCACCTTTGTCTATTCTCTCATCGACTGATCATTTTTTCAATTTTTTCTCCATTTTCCTTTCTTCAGTCTTTTTTTAGCTTTTCCTTTTTTTCCTTCTTTTTTGTTTGTTTGTTTCTATCTTTCTATAAGTCTTTCTTTGATTAGTATATTCATAATCATGTACAATTTGAAATGTTTCAGCATTAAATAATCCCAGAAATGATAGAAGCGACAGAAGGTTGCAAGATGATAAGAACATTCAGAAAACAGCTTCGGTTTGACTCAGGATTATCAGGGAAAATTCGGACCATATAACGTCAGGATGACCTACAAAAGTGGTTTGAAACTTCGCAGAGTACTTCTTCTGAGTAAGACTTCCCATAGAGGAGAACATGACTAAGAACTGTGCATACGCCATCCCATGCAGCTGTGGCAAGAAATATAAAGGAGAAAAAAGCCACCCCTTTAAGATAAGACTGCAGAAACACCGTAATAACGTAACAAGAGGGAAAATAGAAAAATCAGACATGGCTGAACATATATTGAGGAAAAAGTGAGATCACTACCATCTGTGAGATGAGTTTGAAATAATAAACAGAGAACATCACTTAAGGACTCAGCACATCTGCTAGGTCAAAAAAATCTCCGAGCAAGCAAAAACATTAATTCAATACGGATTGCTAGTAAAAAAAAAAACAACAATAATAACAAATTTTAATATGAGATCTGGTAGAAAAATGTAACTGAAACATTAGATTTATAAGTCACCAAAATTCATACACTGATGTTTTGTTGAAGTAATTAAAAACTGACTTGCCTCAAAGAGTTGTGAGTTCATTTCCTGGTCACAGCAAAGGGGGAAAAAAACCAAAAACTTGGAGTTTTAGTTAAAGGGAAATAACTCAAATCATTCCACTATAATCATTCCACTTCATGTTAGAGAACATATTAGTACGAGAAGGCTTAATGAGTCACTCTTCTGGAGGTTAGCAACAGCCATTCTGATACAAGGCAGAAAAGAGCCTCTCATGACGCATAGAAAGACGTTTTGAAAACATTAAAATAACAAGTCTTTCGTTGTTACAGTTAACAGCAGATTGCGGGTCATCTTTTAGATAAGCTGCCAATTTGACTTTATCGAAACGATCAGACTATCAAGACAGGAGAAAAGATTTGTGTCATCAACATTGATACAGAGTTGATAACTCATGACATCAGGAATTTCGTTGATGAAAATTAGGAAGAAAGCAGAGCCAAGGATATAGTCTTGGAGACACGTGCATTAGCAATAAAAGATCGAGAAGACAGAATCATTATTTACATTATTCGGACTGTTGTCCTCATCTTTGTCGCCATATTTATTACAACGTTTCAGCCATTTTACGCTCCGGCCTTCTTCAGGCGGTTGGAATGTCGAACTGATCCCTTTATTTCGCTCACTGGGGTAGACTGTTCTAGTTCCACGTGCCATGTTTAATGTGTGTCAGTTATCAGTTATCTCCTCTTAAATTCGCTCTGAAAGTTCTCCACTGCCTTAAGCAGATATTGAATTCACACTGTTTGGGTCCTGTCACTGGATCTAAATATCGCCTTTATCCACTATGCCATGTGTCCCAGTGAGCGAAATAAAGGGTTCAGTTCGACATTCCAACCACCTGAAGAAGGCTAGCTAATAAATATGACGACAAAGATGGAGGCAATAGTCCGAATAATGTAAATAATGTACATAATACCACGTCTCCGAAATATAGAGAGATAATGAAAGGCCAAAACGTTGTAATAAATATGGCGACAAAGATGAGGACAATAATCCGAATAATGTAAATAGTGTACATAATACCTCACCTCAGAAATATAGACAGATACTGAAGGGCCAAAACGTTGTAATAAATATGGCGACAAAGATGAGGACAATAGTCCGAATAATATAAATACTGTACATAATACCTCATCTCAGAAATATAGACAGATACTGAAGGGCCGAAACGTTGTAATAAATATGGCGACAAAGATGAAGACAATAGTCTGAATAATGTAAATAGTGTACATAATACCTCGTCTCCGAAATATAGACAGATACTGAAAGGCCGAAACTTTGTAATAAATATGGCGACAAAGACGAGGACAATAGTCCGAATAATGTAAATAATATACATAATACCTCGTCTCAGAAATATAGACAGATACTGAAGACTGAATCAGTTCAAAAACTCGTCCAACAATATATAGAATCAACAGTCACTTTTGATATTTAACCATGAACTCTATCCTTTTTCTATTATTTTTATATGATTGTAAAGTATGTAAATCGCCAGAGCTTTATCCGTTCTTGTATTCAGAGTTCCCTTACTATATATTCACAAGCTGTCCTACACATGGCCCAGTGGATAAAGACGTTGGTCAGATCCTGTGACTAGACTCAAAAGTTGTGAGTTCAATACCAGGCCACGGCAGCGGTGAACCAAAAATGTGGAGAGTTGAGTTAAAGAGAGATAAGTGAGACACCCGGAAGAGGCATGTCATGTGGAACTAGAACAATCTTCCCCGGCTTACGATATAAAGGGTTCAGTTCACCTGAAGGACGCATCGGCGAAAGGTTGTGTATACGGCAATGAAGATGAGGATAACTGCTCGAATAATGTAAATAATGCAAGTAATACAAATACCTCCTTTCAGAGATATAGACAGATATTGAAGAAACATTCTAATCACCTGAAGAAGGCTGGATCGTACAACGGCCGAAAGTTTGTGAATATGGCAATGAAGATGACGATAACAGTCCGAATGACGTAAATAATGTAAGTAATCATAATGCCTCACTTCACAGATATAGACAAATACTGAGGAAAAATTCCAATCACCTGAAGAAAGCCGGAGCGTAAAACGGCCGAAACGTTGTGAATATGGCAGTGATGACGATAACAATCCGAATAATGTAAATAATGCAATTAATCATAATACCTCATCTCAGAGATATAGACAAAAATAAGCTTGTCGTATCGGGGTGGGTGGGGATTTAGGAACAAAATATTGAATTGTATGCCTGAACTTACATTCGGTACACAAGAGTTACTTCCTCATTTCTTTTTCTTTCTATTAGGTTGGTGCAAAAATAATGACGTAAGAATGTCGTTTTTTGACGTTAAAAACGACATTATGACGTCATTATTTTTTGCACCAACCGAATAATTCCTCCTCTGTTCTTCCGTGACTTTTATTAATACTTCTTTTCAGCTTTGTTCCATATTTTTGACCAAAACAATACGAACTGCATATTTTGAGGAAGACGCGCTGTGTTTAGTGCCTTTCTTAATTAGGCCCAAATTTCGCTCATAATTTCAGGTTGCGCTGTCTTCTGGGTTTTTTTTTGTTTTTTTTGTAATTTAGACTTTTTAAAAAACTTTTTACACTACTTTTTCTCTAGATTTTACTCTTTCCTCCTTTTCACTAAATTCTTTCCTTCATTCTCCAACGTTAGCCAATCAGTTGATGGATCTCGTGAGCGCATAGATGCGGGTGTATTTATATATTATTTATTTTCACTGGGTTGATTTCGAGGATAGATTACTTATTTCAATGATGCTTGATTTCCGTTACTCCCTCCTCAACATGACTTAAAATATATCCCTGAGGGAATCTTCTTCTTCTTCTTCTTCTTCTTCTTCTTCTTCTTCTTCTTCTTCTTCTTCTTCTTCTTCTTCATCATCGATTATTCGCTTTTTTTTATATTAATTAGGAAATTTACTCCCCGGTCAATTATATTATTTTCTGAATGTCGCTGGGCCTAAGATGATTCCTGTTCAACAAAAATGCGTATAGATGAAAAAATATAATATATATATATATATATATATATATATATATATATATATATATATAGAGAGAGAGAGAGAGAGAGAGAGAGAGAGAGAGAGAGGGGGGGGGTTACTTACGTGTCGTGGGAGGAAGAGAGTGAGAGAAAGAGATACAACAACGTGAACAGATTCAGATAAAGAAGAAGGGATCGAAAAATACGAGACGAGTGATAAAGAGAGAAGCGGTAAGAAGATAAGAGACATAAATAACGGGAGGAGATTATAGAAAGAAAAGAAAGAGAGGAAGAATATTAAAAGAAAAGAAAAGGAGGGAAAACGAATTTTGAAAGAGAAGAAAGAGGAGGAATATTGAAAGGAAAGAAAGAGGGAGAGAAGAATATTGCAAGAAAACAAGGTGAGAGGAATACTGACAGAAAAGAAAGAGGGAAGAATATTAAAAGAAAAGAAAGAGGGTGAGAGGAATATTGAAAGGAATGAAAGAGGGTAAGAAGAATATTGAAAAAGAAAAAAAAGAAAGAGGGTAAGAAGAATATTGAGAGGAAAGAAAGAGGGTAAGAAGAATATTGAAAGAAAAAAAAAAGAAGAATGGATTGAAAGGAAAAAAGAGAATATTGAAAAAGGAAAGAAAGAGGGTAAGAAGAATATTGAAAGAAAAGAAAGAGGGTAAGAAGAATATTGAAAAAAAGAAAAAAAAGAGGGTAAGAAGAATATTATTGAAAAAAGAAAGGGGAAATAAGAAAAGAGAGAAAAGAAAGAGGCAAGAAGAATATTGAGAGAAAAGAAAGAGGGTAAGAAGAAAAAAAGAAAGAAGAAAAGAGAAAAGAAAGAGGTAAGAAGAATATTGAGAAAAAAGAAAAGAGGGTAAGAAGAATTATTGAGAAAAAAAAAGAGGGTAAGAAGAATATTGAAAGAAAAGAAAGAGGATAAGAAGAATATTGAAAGAAAAGAAAGAGGGTAAGAAGAATATTGAGAAAAGAAAGAGGGTAAGAAGAATATTGAGAGAAAAGAAAGAGGTAAGAAGAATATTGAAAGAAAAGAAAAGAAAGGAAAGAAAGAAGAATATTGAGAGAAAAGAAAGAGGGTAAGAAGAATATTGAAAGAAAAGAAAGAAAAGAATATTAAAGAAAAAGAATATTGAAAGAAAAAGAAAGAGGAGTAAGAAGAATATTGAAGAGAAAAAAAAAAAAGGTAAGAAGAATATTGAAAAGAAAAGAAAGAATATTGAGGGGTAAGAAGAATATTGAAAGAAAAGAAAGAGGGGAAAGAAGAATAAAGAAAGAGGGTAAGAAAAGAAAGAAGAGGGTAAGAAGAATATTGAAAGGAAAGAAAAGAGGGTAAGAAGAATATTGAGGAAGAAAAGAAAGAAAGTAAGAAGAATATTGAAAGAAAAGAAAGAGGGTAAGAAGAATAAAAAAGAAAAGAAAGAAGGTAAGAAGAATATTGGGTAAGGAATAAAGGAAAGAAAAAGGTAAGAAGAATATTGAGAGAAAAGAAAGAGGGTAAGAAGAATATTGAGAGAAAAGAAAGAGGGTAAGAAGAATATTGAAAAGAAAAGAAAGAGGGTAAGAAGAATATTGAAAGGAAAGAAAGAGGGTAAGAAGAAAGAAAAGAAAGAGAAAAGAAAGAGGGAAAGAAGAATATTGAGAGAAAAGAAAGAGGGTAAGAAGAATATTGAAAGAAAAGAAAGAGGGGAAAGAAGAATATTGAAAGAGGGTAAGAAAGAGGGTAAGAAGAAGATTGAAAGAAAAGAAAGAGGGTAAGAAGAATATTGAGAGAAAGAAAGAGGATAAAGAAGAATATTGAAAGAAAAGAAAGAGGGTAAGAAGAATATTGAAAGAAAAGAAAGAGGGTAAGAAGAATATTGAAAGAAAAGAAAGAGGGTAAGAAGAATATTGAAAGAAAAGAAAGAGGGTAAGAAGAATATTGAAAGAAAAGAAAGAGGGTAAGAAGAATATTGAAAGGAAAGAAAGAGGGTAAGAAGAATATTGAAAAAGAAAAAAAAAAGAGGCTAAGAAGAATATTGAAAGAATATTGAAAAGAAAAGAAAGAGGGTAAGAAGAATATTGAAAGAAAAGAAAAGAAAAGAGGGTAAGAAGAATATTGAAAGGAAAGAAAGAGGTAAGAAGAATATTGAAAGAAAAGAAAGAGGGTAAGAAGAATATTGAAAGAAAAGAAAGAGGGTAAGAAGAATAGTGAAAAGAAAAGAAAGAGGGTAAGAAAAAGAATATTGAATAGAAAAAGAAAGAGGGTAAGAAGAATATTGAAAGAAAAGAAAGAGGGTAAGAAGAATATTGAAAGGAAAGAAAGAGGGTAAGAAGAATATTGAGAGAAAAGAAAGAGGGTAAGAAGAATATTGAAAGAAAAGAAATAGGGTAAGAAGAATATTGAAAAGGAAAGAAAGAGGGCAAGAAGAATATTGAAAGAAAAGAAAGAGGGTAAGAAGAATATTGAAAGGAAAAGAAAGAGGGTAAGAAGAATATTGAAAGAAAAAGAAAGAGGTAAGAAGAATATTGAAAGGAAAAGAAAGAGGGTAAGAAGAATATTGAAAGAAAAGAAAGAGGGTAAGAAGAATATTGAAAGGAAAGAAAGAGGGCAAGAAAAAAAGAGGGGTAAGAAGAATATTGAAAGAAAAAGAAAGAGGGTAAGAAGAATATTGAAAAGAAAAGAAAGAGGGTAAGAAGAATATTGAAAGAAAAGAAAGAGGGTAAGAAGAATATTGAAAGGAAAGAAAGAGTGTAAGAAGAATATTGAATGGAAAGAAAGAGGGTAAGAAGAATATTGAAAGAAAAGAAAGAGGGTAAGAAGAATATTGAAAGGAAAGAAAGAGGGTAAGAAGAATATTGAAAGGAAAGAAAGAGGGTAAGAAGAATATTGAAAGAAAAGAAAGAGGGTAAGAAGAATATTGAAAGGAAAGAAAGAGGGTAAGAAGAATATTGAAAGGAAAAGAAAAGAGAGGGTAAGAAGAATATTGAAAAGAAAAAAAAGAGGGTAAGAAGAATATTGAAAAGGAAAGAAAGAGGGTAAGAAGAATATTGAAAAGAAAAGAAAGAGGGTAAGAAGAATATTGAAAGGAAAGAAAGAGAGGGTAAGAAGAATATTGAAAGGAAAGAAAGAGGGTAAGAAGAATATTGAAAGGAAAGAAAGAGGGTAAGAAGAATATTGAAAGGAAAGAAAGAGGGTAAGAAGAATATTGAAAGGAAAGAAAGAGGTAAGAAGAATATTGAAAGGAAAAGAAAGAGGGTAAGAAGAATATTGAAAGAAAAGAAAGAGGGTAAGAAGAATATTGAAAGGAAAGAAAGAGGGTAAGAAGAATATTGAAAGGAAAAAGAAAGAGGTAAGAAGAATATTGAAAAGGAAAGAAAGAGGAAGAATATTGAAAAGGAAAGAAAGAGGGTAAGAAGAATATTGAAAGGAAAGAAAGAGGGTAAAGAAGAATATTGAAAGGAAAGAAAAAGAGGAAAGAAAGAAGAATATTGAAAGGAAAAGAAAGAGGGTAAGAAGAATATTGAGAGAAAAGAAAGAGGGTAAGAAGAATATTGAAAAGAAAAGAAAGAGGGGTAAGAAGAATATTGAAAGGAAAGAAAGAGGGTAAAAAGAATATTGAAAGGAGAAAGAGGTAAGAAGAATATTGAAAGGAAAGAAAGAGGGTAAGAAGAATATTGAAAGAAAGAAAGAGAGTAAGAAGAATATTGAAAGAAAAGAAAGAGATAAGAAGAATATTGAAAGAAAAAAGAAAAGAGGGTAGAAAGAAGAATATTGAAAGGAAAGAAAGAGGGTAAGAAGAATATTGAAAGGAAAGAAAGAGGTAAGAAGAATATTGAAAGGAAAGAAAAGGGGTAGAAGAATATTGAAAGGAAAGAAAGAGGAAGTAAGAAAAGAAAGAGGGTAAGAAAATATTGAAAGAAAGAGAGGTAAGAAGAATATTGAAAGGAAAGAAAGAGGGAAGAAGAATATTGAAAAAGAAAGAAAAGAGGGTAAGAAGAATATTGAAAGAAAAGAAAGAGGGTAAGAAGAATATTGAAAGAAAAGAAAATATTGAAAGGAAAAGAAGAATATTGAAAGAAAAGAAAGAGGATAAGAAGAATATTGAAAGAAAAGAAAGAGGGTAAGAAGAATATTGAAAAAGAAAGAAAGAGGGTAAGAAGAATATTGAAAGGAAAGAAAGAGGTAAGAAGAATATTGAAAAGGAAAGAAAGAGGAAAGAGAAGAATATTGAAAGGAAAGAAAGAGGGTAAGAAGAATATTGAAAGGAAAGAAAGAGGTAAGAAGAATATTGAAAGGAAAGAAAGAAAGGGAAAGAAGAAGAATATTGAAAGGAAAGAAAGAGGGTAAGAAGAATATTGAAAGGAAAGAAAGAGAGAAAAGAAGAATATTGAAAGAAAAAGAAAGAGGGTAAGAAGAATATTGAAAGGAAAAGAAAGAGGGTAAGAAGAATATTGAAAGAAAGAAAGAGGGTTAGAAAGAATATTGAAAGAAAAGAAAGAAAGGGGTAAAAAGAATATTGAAAGAAAAGAAAGAGGGTAAAAAGAATATTGAAAGAAAAGAAAGAGGGTAAGAAGAATATTGAAAGGAAAGAAAGAGGGTAAGAAGAATATTGAAAAGGAAAGAAAGAGGTAAGAAGAATATTGAAAAAGGAAAGAAAGAGGGTAAGAAGAATATTGAAAGGAAAGAAAGAGGGTAGGAAGAATATTGAAAAAGGAAAGAAAAGAGGTAAGAAGAATATTGAAAGAAAAGAAAAGAAGAAGAATAAGAAGAATATTGAAAGGAAAGAAAGAAAAAGAAAGAGGTAAGAAGAATATTGAAAGGAAAGAAAGAGGGTAAGAAGAATATTGAAAGGAAAAGAAAGAGGGTAAGAAGAATATTGAAAGGAAAGAAAGAGGGTAAGAAGAATATTGAAAAGGAAAGAAAAGAGGGGTAAGAAGAATATTGAAAGGAAAAGAAAGAGGGTAAGAAGAATATTGAAAGGAAAAAAAAGGGGAAGAATATTGAAAGAAAGAAAGAGGATTGAAAAGAAAAGAAAGAGGGTAAGAAGAATATTGAAAAGGAAAAGAAAGAGAGTAAGAAGAATATTGAAAGGAAAGAAAGAGGGTAAGAAGAATATTGAAAGGAAAAGAAAGAGGGTAAGAAGAATATTGAAAGAAAAGAAAGAGATAAGAAGAATATTGAAAAGAAAAGAAAAGAGGGGGTAAGAAGAATATTGAAAAAAAAGAAAGAGGGTAAGAAGAATATTGAAAGAAAAGAAAGAGGGTAAGAAGAATAAGAGAAAAAAAGAGGATAAGAAGAATAAAAAAAGAAAGAAAAAGGGTGAAGAATATTGAAAGGAAAGAAAGAGGGTAAGAAGAATATTGAAAGAAAAGAAAGAGGACAAGAAGAATATTGAGAGAAAAGAAAGAGGGTAAGAAGAATATTGAAAGAAAAGAAAGAGAGTAAGAAGGATATTGAAAGAAAAGAAAGAGGGTAAGAAGAATATTGAAAGGAAAGAAAGAGGGTAAGAAGAATATTGAAAGGAAAGAAAGAGAGTAAGAAGAATATTGAAAGAAAAGGAAAAGAGGGTAAAGAAGAATATTGAAAGGAAAGAAAAGAGGGTAAGAAGAATATTGAAAGAAAAAGAAAAGAATATTGAAAGAAAAGAAAGAAGAATATTGAGAGAAAAGAAAGAGGGTAAGAAGAATATTGAAAGAAAAAAAAGAGGGTAAGAAGAATATTGAAAGGAAAGAAAGAGGGTAAGAAGAATATTGAAAGAAAAGAAAGAGAGTAAGAAGAATATTGAAAGAAAAGAAAGAGGATAAGAAGAATATTGAGAGAAAAGAAAGAGGGTAAGAAGAATATTGAAAGAAAAGAAAGAGGGTAAGAAGAATATTGAAAGAAAAGAAAGAGGGTAAGAAGAATATTGAAAGGAAAGAAAGAGGGTAAGAAGAATATTGAAAGGAAAGAAAGAGGGTAAGAAGAATATTGAAAGGAAAGAAAGAGAGTAAGAAGAATATTGAAAGAAAAGAAAGAGGGTAAGAAGAATATTGAAAGAAAAGAAAGGTAAGAAGAATATTGAAAGAAAAGAAAGAGGGTAAGAAGAATATTGAAAGGAAAGAAAGAGGGTAAGAAGAATATTGAAAGAAAAGAAAGAAAGAGGGAAAAGAATATTGAAAGAAAAGAAAGAGGATAAGAAGAATATTGAAAGAAAAGAAAGAAGAAGAATATTGAAAGGAGGAATATTGAAAGAAGAATATTGAAAATAATATTGAAAGAAAGAAAGGGGTAAGAAGAATATTGAAAGAAAAGAAAAAGAAGAGAATATTGAAAGGAAAGAAAGAGGAAGAAAAGAAAGAGAGGAAGAAGAATTGAAAGAAAAGAAGAGAAAGAAGAATATTGAAAGAAAAGAAAGAGGGTAAGAAGAAAATTGAAAGAAAAGAAAGAGGGTAAGAAGAATATTGAAAGAAAAGAAAGAGGGTAAGAAGAATATTGAAAGGAAAAGAAAGAGGGTAAGAAGAATATTGAAAGAAAAGAAAGAGGGTAATAAGAATATTGAAAGGAAAAGAAAGAGGGTAAGAAAGAATATTGAAAGAAAAGAAAGAGGATAAGAAAATATTGAATATTGAAAGAAAAGAAAGAGAGTAAGAAGAATATTGAAAAAGGAAAGAAAGAGGGAAAAAGAATATTGAAAGGAAAGAAAGAGGGTAAGAAGAATATTGAAAAGAAAAGAAAGAGAGTAAGAAGAATATTGAAAGAAAAGAAAGAGGGTAAAGAATAAAGATTGAAAGGAAAGAAAGAGAGTAAGAAGAATATTGAAAAAGAAAAGAAAAGAGGATAAGAAAAGAATATTGAAAGAAAAGAAAGAGGGGTAAGAAGAATATTGAAAGAAAAGAAAGAGGATAAGAAGAATATTGAAAGAAAAGAAAAGGGTAAGAAGAATATTGAAAGAAAAAAAAAGAGGGGTAAGAAGAATATTGAAAGGAAAAGAAAGAGAATAAGAAAGAATATTGAAAGGAAAGAAAGAAGAATATAAGAAGAATATTGAAAGGAAAGAAAAGAGGGTAAGAAGAATATTGAAAGAAAAGAAAGAGAGTAAGAAGAAGAATATTTGAATGGAAAGAAAAGAGGATAAGAAGAATATTGAAAGAAAAGAAGAATATAAAGGGAAGAATATTGAATGAAAGAAAGAGGATAAGAAGAATATTGAAAGAAAAAGAAAGAGGGTAAGAAGAATATTGAAAGAAAAGAAAGAGGGGAAGAAGAATATTGAAAGGAAAGAGAAAGAGAGGTGGAAAAAGAAAAGAAAGAAAAGGAAGAATATTGAAAGAAAAGAAAGAGGATAAGAAGAATATTGAAAGAAAAGAAAGAGGGTAAGAAGAATATTGAAAGAAAAGAAAGAGGTAGAAGAACATTGAAGAATATTGAAAGGAAAAGAAAAGAGGGTAAGAAAGAATATTGAAAGGAAAGAAAGAGGGTAAGAAGAATATTGAAAGGAAAGAAAGAGGGTAAGAAGAATATTGAAAGAAAAGAAAGAGGAAAAGAGAGGGTAAGAAGAATATTGAAAGGAAAGAAAGAGGGTAAGAAGAATATTGAAAGGAAAGGAGAAAGAAAGAGGGTAAGAAGAATATTGAAAGAAAAAGAAAGAGGATAAGAAGAATATTGAAAGAAAAGAAAGAGAGTAAGAAGAATATTGAAAAGGAAAAGAAAAGAGGTAAGAAGAATATTGAAAGGAAAAAGAAAGAGGATAAGAAGAATATTGAAAGAAAAGAAAGAGGTATAAAGAATATTGAAAAGGAAAGAAAGAGGGAAAGAAGAATATTGAAAGAAAAGAAAGAGGGTAAGAAGAATATTGAAAGGAAAGAAAGAGGGAATAAGAAGAATATTGAAAGGAAAGGAAAGAGGGGAAGAAGAATATTGAAAGGAAAGAAAGAGAGTAAGAAGAATATTGAAAGAAAAGAAAGAGGGTAAGAAGAATATTGAAAGGAAAGAAAGAGGGTAAGAAGAATATTGAAAGAAAAGAAAGAGGGTAAGAAGAATATTGAAAGGAAAGAAAGAGGGTAAGAAGAATATTGAAAGGAAAGAAAGAGGGTAAGAAGAATATTGAAAGGAAAAAAAAGAGGAATAAAAGAAGAATATTGAAAGAAAAGAAAGAGGGTAAGAAGAATAAAGGAAAGAAAGAAAAAAAGAAAGAAAGAAAGGTAAAGAAGAATAACATGAAAGGAAAGAAAGAGGGTAAGAAGAATATTGAAAGAAAAGAAAGAGGGTAAAGAATATTAAAGAAAAGAAAGAGGGTGTAAGAAGAATAGGAAAAGAAAGAGGGTAAGAAAAGAATATTGAAAGAAAAAGAAAGAGGGTAAGAAGAATATTGAAAAGGAAAGAAAGAGAGGTAAGAAGAATATTGAAAAAAGAAAAAGAATATTGGAAAAGAAAAGAAAGAAAAGAAAGTAAGAAGAATATTGAAAGAAAAGAAAGAGGATAAGAAGAATATTGAAAGAAAAGAAAGAGGGTAAGAAGAATATTGAAAGAAAAGAAAGAGGGTAAGAAGAATATTGAAAGAAAAGAAAGAGGGTAAGAAGAATATTGAAAGAAAAGAAAGAGGGTAAGAAGAATATTGAAAGGAAAGAAAGAGGGTAAGAAGAATATTGAAAGGAAAAGAAAGAGGGTAAGAAGAATATTGAAAGAAAAGAAAAAAGAAGAATATTGAAAGGAAAGAAAGAGGGTAAGAAGAATATTGAAAGAAAAGAAAGAGGGTAAGAAGAATATTGAAAAAAAGGAAAAAAAAGAAAGAGGGTAAGAAGAATATTGAAAGGAAAGAAAAGAAAGAAAGGGTAAGAAGAATATTGAAAGGAAAGAAAGAGGGTAAGAAGAATATTGAAAGAAAAGAAAGAGGGTAAGAAGAATATTGAAAGAAAAGAAAGAGGGTAAGAAGAATATTGAAAGGAAAGAAAGAGGGTAAGAAGAATATTGAAAGAAAAGAAAGAGGGTAAGAAGAATATTGAAAGAAAAGAAAGAGGGTAAGAAGAATATTGAAAGGAAGAGTAAGAAGAAAGAGGGTAAGAAGAATATTGAAAGAAAAGAAAGAGGGTAAGAAGAATATTGAAAGAAAAGAAAGAGGGTAAGAAGAATATTGAAAGAAAAGAAAGAGGGTAAGAAGAATATTGAAAGAAAAGAAAGAGGGTAAGAAGAATATTGAAAGAAAAGAAAGAGGGTAAGAAGAATATTGAAAGAAAGAAAGAGAAAAAGAGGGTAGAAGAATATTGAAAGAAAAGAAAGAGGGTAAGAAGAATATTGAAAAAAAAGAAAGAGGAAGAATATTGAAAGAAAAAGAAAGAGGGTAAGAAGAATATTGAAAGAGAAAAGAAAGAGAGGTAAGAAGAATATTGAAAGAAAGGAAAGAGGGTGAAGAATATTGAAAAGAAAAGAAAGAGGAAAAGAAGAATATTGAAAGGAAAGAAAGAAAGGGGTAAGGAAGAATATTGAAAGGAAAGAAAGAGGATAAGAAGAATATTGAAAGAAAAGAAAAGAGGATAAGAAGAATATTGAAAGAAAAGAAAGAGGGTAGGAAGAATATTGAAAGAAAAGAAAGAGGGTAAGAAGAATATTGAAAGAAAAGAAAGAGGATAAGAAGAATATTGAAAGGAAAGAAAGAGGGTAGGAAGAATATTGAAAGGAAAGAAAGAGGATAAGAAGAATATTGAAAGAAAAGAAAGAGGATAAGAAGAATATTGAAAGAAAAGAAAGAGGGTAGGAAGAATATTGAAAGGAAAGAAAGAGGATAAGAAGAATATTGAAAGAAAAGAAAGAGGATAAGAAGAATATTGAAAGGAAAGAAAGAGGGTAGGAAGAATATTGAAAGGAAAGAAAGAGGATAAGAAGAATATTGAAAGAAAAGAAAGAGGATAAGAAGAATATTGAAAGAAAAGAAAGAGGGTAAGAAGAATATTGAAAGGAAAGAAAGAGGGTAAGAAGAATATTGAAAGAAAAGAAAGAGGGTAGGAAGAATATTGAAAGAAAAGAAAGAGGATAAGAAGAATATTGAGAGAAAAGAAAGAGGGTAAGAAGAATATTGAAAGAAAAGAAAGAGGGTAAGAAGAATATTGAAAGGAAAGAAAGAGAGTAAGAAGAATATTGAAAGAAAAGAAAGAGGGTAAGAAGAATATTGAAAGAAAAGAAAGAGGGTAAGAAGAATATTGAAAGGAAAAAAGAAAGAGGAATAAGAAGAATATTGAAAGAAAAAGAAAGAGGGTAAGAAGAATATTGAAAGGAAAGAAAGAGGGTAAGAAGAATATTGAAAGAAAAGAAATTAAGAGGGTAAAGAAGAATATTGAAAGGAAAGAAAAGAGGGATAAGAAGAATATTGAAAGAAAAGAAAGAGGGTAAAAGAAGAATATTTGAAAGAAAAGAAAGAGGGTAAGAAGAATATTGAAAGAAAAGAAAGAGGGTAAGAAGAATATTGAAAGAAAAGAAAGAGGGTAAGAAGAATATTGAAAGAAAGGAAAGAGGGTAAGAAGAATATTGAAAGGAAAAGAAAGAGGGTAAGAAGAATATTGAAAGAAAAAGAAAGAGGGTAAGAAGAATATTGAAAGAAAAGAAAGAGGGTAAGAAGAATATTGAAAAGAAAAGAAAAGAGGGTTAAGAAGAATATTGAAAATAAAAGAAAGAGGGGTAAGAAGAATATTGAAAGAAAAGAAAAAGAAAGAGGGTTTAAGAATATTGAAAAGAAAAAGAAAGAGGTAAGAAGAATATTGAAAGGAAAGAAAGAGGGTAAGAAGAATATTGAAAGAAAAGAAAGAGGGATAAGAAGAATATTGAAAGAAAAGAAAGAGGGGTAAGAAGAATATTGAAAGGAAAGAAAGAGGGTAAGAAGAATATTGAAAGAAAAGAAAGAGGGTAAGAAGAATATTGAAAGAAAAAGAAAGAGGGTAAAGAAAAGAATATTGAAAAGAAAAGAAAGAGGATAAGAAGAATATTGAAAGAAAGAAAGAGAAAAGAAGAATATTGAAAGGAAAAAAGAAAGAGGATAAGAAGAATATTGAAAAAAGAAAAGAAGAGGAAGAAGAATATTGAAAGAAAAAAGAAAGAGGGTAAGAAGAATATTGAAAGAAAAAAGAAAGATAAGAAGAATATTGAAAGAAAAGAAAGGAAAAGAAAAAAAGAATATTGAAAGAAAAAAAAGAATATTGAAAGGAAAAGAAAGAGGGTAAAAGAATATTGAAAGGAAAGAAAGAGGGATAAGAATAATGAAAGAAAAGAAAGAGGATAAGAAGAATATTGAAAGAAAAAGAAAGAGGGTAAGAAGAATATTGAAAGAAAAGAAAAGAGGATAAGAAGAATATTGAAAGAAAAGAAATAGGATAAGAAGAATATTGAAAGAAAGAAAGAGGGTAAGAAAGAATATTGAAAGAAAGAAAGAAAGAGGATAAGAAGAATATTGAAAGAAAAGAAAGAGGATAAGAAAGAATATTGAAAGAAAAAAGAAAGAGGGTAGGAAGAATATTGAAAGGAAAGAAAATAGGAAAGAAGAAAGAAAAAGGTTGAAAATATTGAAAGAAAAGAAAGAGGATAAGAAGAATATTGAAAGAAAAGAAAAGAAAGAGGGTAGGAAGAATATTGAAAGGAAAGAAAGAGGGTAAGAAGAATATTGAAAGAAAAAAGAAAAGAGGATAAGAAAAGAATATTGAAAAAAGAAAAGAAAGAGGGTAATAAGAATATTGAAAGAAAAAAGAAAGAAAGAAGGGAATATTGAAGAAAGAAAAGGATTGGGAAAATATTGAAAGAAAGAAAGAGGATAAGAAGAATATTGAAAGAAATGAAAGGTGTGGATTTTACGCCACCGCAAACATTGTTGCGTTATTTAATGTCGAAACCTGATTATATTTTTTTATACCTAAGCCGAATGTTAGACTTTATCTGAGATTATACTTGAGTCTATATATAGTCTGGCCTTATACCTGAGCTTATATTTTGATCTATATGTAGAGATTGACTTGGCTTGTTAGCAATAAGGAAATTATAAAGAAAAGGAAATGAAACAGAAAGAACCTTTATACTTAAACTGGAAAGACGGCTTGGAAAATATGAAACACTTTCACGACATACTGAAGACATCAGAGAAAGAACAATTTAGCATATGTCAATGAATAACAAGAAAAGGATTAGCGGGGATAGTTTAAAGACAAATATTGCTGAGAGATACAAGGGATAGGAAGTGGTGGAGGGCCATGAATATTTTATTTTCAGTTTTTCCATGTTAGAAGAAGAAGAAAAAGAAGAAGAAGAAAAAGAAGAAGAAGAAAAAGAAGAAGAAAAAACGAAGAAGAAGGTTGAAGAAGAAGAAGAAAAAGAAGAAAAAGGAAAAGAAGAAAAAGGTTGAAGAAAAAGAAAAAGAAGTTTGAAGTAAAAGAAGAATAAA